CATAGCGGTCCAAGAAAAGGCATTGCACCGACAAATGCTGGTGCCTACCTAAAAATGGCAAGAAATAACCCAGGTAAATCTTGGGGCCAAGACTTTGTGAATGCCCAGGTGCCAAGATTATGCCAACTTTGAGTGGTTAGACTTATGGCTGTCTGGAGCGGGGGGCCAATGTCATCGAAGCCTAAAATCCAGTTTTCCCCTTGCGAACCATGGAAACTGTGGCTGCAGGTTTATGGTTAACGTTTATTTTGTACCTTTATTTTACTTAACTTTACTTTACTTTACCTAGACATTTCCAAGGTTCAAATTTGCTTTGACCCATCTTACATAAACCATGTGGCGGAATGCATTATTTTCTCGGGGAGTTTCTGGAGCCGAATACGAAGATTGATCGGTTTGAATGTAATATTGTCTTAGTCTTGAAGTGTAACCTTAACTTACAGGTAGTAATCGTCCTATCAATTATGGATCAGTTACCCTACCCGTGCATACTAAAATAGTTGGATATTACTGCGTGACGATTATGATTGCAAATCACATCTTCGTCCTGTAGGCTATTTGCAATGTGATACGTCAGGCAGGGATGCCCTCTTGCATGACTCGTACAACGCGCACTGCCCGAACTTCTTTTTCGCTTATGCTTAACCCTGGTAAGGTTGGGGCCCCTTGGCCTGCTGATCCTGGCCCCCTTATTGGCATGCTTATTGGCATGGAAGTAGTGCTCACTTTGTCAAAGTCAAATATATTAATTCAAGGCTGTGCGCTTCCTTCGAAGTTCTAATGAGGCTGTATTCGTCTTTCCCATACAATTCTAATCCGATGTTGATCATCTTTTATTAACCATATAATCATTGCCTCTCAAAACAATAATAATCCTTGAAGACAAGTAGCAATCCAGAATCTATAAAATCTAAACTGAAACTACCATGCTCGGCATAATACGCGAGGTCCGAAATAAGGTAACTCACGAGTCAACAAGTAACTCTAAATCCGCTCGGAGACCACGTTTCTTCCTAATCGGGTACGCCGAGACTCAACCTTGAATTCCATTGCCGTTGACCACATCCGCCTCGCTGTCCTGTTTCCGAATTAGGGTACAGATATGTATTTACTTTTCCAGCAATCATGATCAACCTATGGAGTACTGCCCCCCAAAGGCTAGTTCCACCGACGCCCCATTTTTTTGCATTTGGTCTGTGGGACGCCTCGTTTCCAGACTATAGTGCTTGGCTTTGCTTGGGGTCCGGACCTCCGGTGCATAAAATCAGGGATAAGATCTGCCGTACATGTATTCCGTATACAGGTTGACTTATACGCCAATATGCTACCCCAGCTATGTATGCATGTAACAAAACGTCCGGTCTACTCCGTACTCCATACAATATAGAGCTACACCTATCGTGAAACGATCGTCTACGCCTGGCGCTCTGCTAATGCAGCAAGATCTGTGCCTTAATTTTATTCCTTCGGGCGCCAAGTTTAAACTTGAGAACCCATTCCGTTCGTCCGTGCGGTGCTTGGTGCTTGTTAACATATATTTTTACACTCTAGTTCCTCCAGTGTCTAACTCCTGGTTCCTTCGATGCTCAGCCCTGTCTTCGTACACAAATACCCGAAGTTCGGAGCGTCCACGGGTATGGAGTAAGCATACGTAAATCCGACCCTGTGTTCAGGCCGGTGCCATCATGCTTTGATATCATATAATGAGGTCCGATCCCATGCCTGGTATGAAGGCACTGGTGCCGGATGTAGCATTTTCTCTTAACTCCGTGGCATTCCTTCGGATTCTTAGCGTTGCTTCTTCGGCAAGCTGTCTAGGATGATCACTTGGCTGATTCGTTGGACAGGGGCCAGATCCAATAATGTAAAAAGATTAACTATAACCCACACCTGGACACTATCTTCCTTTTCGGCCGGCCATCCGATCATTTGTCTTGAGTACTGCGAGATCATAATTTAAAATTAGAATCTCGGACTCGCAAACAAGATAGGCAAAGTGGGTAAATCAATAAGCTCCAGATATGTAACCTTGAACCTCCTAGTTCTTATAATCCGACGGTGTTCTCCGACCTGCATATGAAGACGAGAACTTAGTCGCCAGTCGTTTTCTTCTCTTCTCTTTTCTTGTTTTGTTATCATAGAGTACGTAAGGCGCCCATGTACAACTACTATATGTTTCTATCAAGGTTGACTTTGGGGGCCTAACAATTGTGCGATGGTTAAAGTAAGCTGAGCCGGGCACTGCCGGTTAGTACCTACAAGCATACCTACATAAACGCACTTTTTAGCTTCAGGTGGTAAGAGACTTGTATTTTCACTAGTCGAAATTGGGCACATGTGCCACAGAAGCTCCGTTATGCGGATGTCTGCGGATAACTGCCCCCTATCTTTGTCCTATTCGGGAATCAATCGGCGACTTTATTCCTGGCACCGTTGAAAATATAGTACAGCTCCCCGGTTGATACAGAGGATGTTGTACTTCGCGTTTATTGGCAATGGAGCAAAGCCAGGCCCAGTTATGAGTTACACAGTAGATCGGCTAATGTTGCTTTAGGTTGGGTTGTTGTCAAATTTCTCTCTATTCAAATATTTAGTTTTCATGCATATTATATTACAGATCTATCATACATTGGCCAAGTGATACCTCTGATCGGTCTCAGCAATCAGCACGACCGAAGTACCGCGGGAAGGATACGATATCCCGAACACTAGAGACACCAGTCAAATAGCCCAGGAATCGATCGAATCCGAGCCCAAAGCCTCCATGAGGAGCAGAGCCCCAGCGTCGGAGGTCAGCATACCATTGGAGGTGGCTCAGGTCCTCGTCAGGGGTGAGATGAGGATATAACGACTCGCCTGAAGCTGAATCACCAGACTCGGGGATCTGTCGGGGCTTGATCAGACCGTGCTCGCGCATGTTCTGGATGAGATTGGGCAGGCGATGCTCGCGCAGGGATCCCCCGGCGACTTCGCTGACTTCAGGGAGGAGCAGGTCGAAACATGCCACTGTCTCCCCAGGCGTGTCGCTGCCGTCGGCGATCTGTGAAGGGGCCATGTAGAACGGCTTGACGGATTTCGGGTAGTCTGTCACAAAGACCGGACGCCCTTGATGGAGAACCTCGACGACATACTTTTCATGCTCAAGTTGCAGACCTCCATTCCATGTCGGGGAATGCTCAAATGATGCTCCCTCTTCGGCGACAGCACGCTGGAGCATCTTCACTGCTTGGGTGTATGTTATGCGGTGCCATTTTGGTCCATCCATTAGATCGTTCCATCTTTGCCGTAGAGATTCCGTTTCCTCGGCGTTGGTTTCCTGGCCTGGCTCGCCAGACCGTTTTGCCGACAAGATCTCTTGGCCCACAGGAGTATTGTATAGACGACGCGTCAGATCGCGAAGCAGATATTCCACTAAGCCAGTAAGCGAGTCAAGATCGGACATGAAATTGACTTCGGCTTCGAGCATGTAGAACTCGCTGAGGTGGCGTGGTGTATCGCTCTTCTCTGCCCGGAACACGGGTGTCAATGTCCAGACGTTTCCCAGCTCCGCTGCGTAAGCTTCAAGGTGAAGCTGCGACGATACGGTGAGGTATTTTGGCGCTCGGAAGAAATGCTCGTTCTCAGTAGTGGGTGTAGCGGCACCGCGCGGTGCCAATGTGAACGTCTCACCTGCGCCTTCACAATCCGAGGATGTTATAAGAGGAGGCTGAACTTGTGTAAAAGCTCCGTCCGGATGAGAGTGGAAGATATTGCCAAGTTGGAACATGCACTCGGATCGGAAGCGCGAAAGGAGAGAATTGAAGGGTGTTCGAATGCGGAGGTGTGGAATCTGGCGCAGGAAGTCGGGGCTGTGGTACTTCTTCTGGATCGGAAACGTCTGTAACCATAGTATCGTGGTTAGTGTGAGGTCTGCGACAGCTGGGGAAGGGGTCTTGGGCTCACCTCCGGGTCAGATGCGCCTACAACCTTAACATCGCTTGTTCGGAGCTCATGAGTTTGCTCTTTGCCCGGTGGACAAGCTTTCCACATGCCCGATATTTCGATCGCAGTTCCAGTTGATAGACTAGACAAGGCGCTCGAGTTAGTCTTCATGGACAGACAGGTCGAGGATCACAGGTCTCACGCGGTTGAACATACTCTGCTGCTTGCGCGGGTTTCAGAATCGCCTGTAATGGCTCCACGGTCGAGCCATCGGATATTTCTGCGAACGCAAAGCGTTTCTGTTTCCGTACAGAGCGAACGAACCCATTCACTTTGACTTCTTGGTCCTCGAAGCTGCAAACTCCACCGTTCTTGCTAGCTTGGAGGAGCTGTGCGCATCGCACAATAGAGGGGCGGGAGTTAATTGAGCTATGGGTAAGTCTGCCCACAGACGTGGCGAAGGTCCGCCGCCATATCTGCATTGCTGAAGGTGCTGTGGGTTGGCTGATCGGGGAGATCGGAGATTGCGGCCAGGAAACTTATCGGCGCTCATGTCGGTCCGATTAGCATTCCCGGCTCTTACCATCGGTATGTACATTATTGGAGACAATTGATTGTATCGATCTATAGCGCTAAGTCTTGTGTTGGCTGCAGTTTTCTTCTTGGGGAATCGAATTTATATCTAGATATATCGCTGACTATGTACAGTCTGCTACCTAGGTATGTTCTCGAGTCTTGTACAACGGTTTATATATAACGGGCGAATCCTATCAATTTATTTATACATTTTGTCTTTTCAAGATAGCCCGAGGACATATGAAAAGGATATCTAACAAAATAACCAGGAAAGTTCCCTTAAAAGGTGGATATACTAACTTGCTGTGAGATATATAGTAGATTGAGGCCTCGAAACATCCATGGATAATTGGACTAGCAAGCCATTACAGCAAAAAGTGAGATTTCAACACTACCGAGAGTAAATGACGCTACAAGAGTCCCAGTCAAGTTAAACCGTAGCTGAAGGAATGGCTGGGTCGTTATATGACCCTGAACAAAAAAGCAAGCAAATATTTCATGCCTCACTGCGAAGGCCGCCGTTCGTAGACCAATCTTTCCTCTTCGATCATATCAATCGCATCCATGAGGACACCATTTGCCATTGCCGCATACACAGCCATTCTTGACCGTCCACCTTCTTGTTCAACCCCGTAGCCCATGTCGACAAGGGCAGAGACACATCGTTCGATCGCCGCATCATCAGACTCAGGAACATTGCTGTCAAGAATATGAGAGAGTTCAGCCCTCGTCGTATCTTCCACCGGGAAGCTTCCGGGAATTTGCTGGCGAGAAGACGCAGCATTTCGTTCTCGCCTAGACAGCCTAGCCCATGTATCCGTTCCCGCTGGACCATGCGATCTGTCCCCAAGATGACGCATACTTGCGGAATGCTTCAGGAGATGATGACGACCAGTCTCCGCAGTGTGCTGATGATTTGGTTTGTGAGTTTCGTGCTCGGTGACTCGACGCTTCAATTTGGCCGCATACTGGGGATCATTGGGATTTACCACCGGGCGCACAGTCTCCTTGGCACCGGAAGAATGGCCGCTTTGATCCCGCGTCGCTTTGCTATGGTCAGAAGATCGGCTAGCATCAACGACCGATGACGGACTGCCGGCCGCATCCAGATGAGAAGCTGGTTGAGACCGACCAGACTCCTTCGGGGAAGGATGCAAGGGTAAACCGTGAGTGGAGAGTCCCCCACGGTTCTTTGCGTCGGTTGGTGATTGACTATGCAAAACACCAGTTATAGGTTCTGTTCCACGGCGTTCCTGCCGATTCGCAAGAAGTTGAGCCTCCCATTGAGACACAGGTGGGAAACGAGACTCCGTGTGCGAATACGAGGAAACGCCTTGACCACTCAATGGATCGTTATGCTGTGCGCTCGACTCGGGTAAAAGCGAGGGAAAACGTGCACTGAATGCAGGGTCCTCGCTTGGAGAATCAAGTAGTGCGGACGATTCCGTCCGAGCTTGATCAGGATCAATATTTTGCGTGAGGTCTACAAAACTGACAGATTTCCTCCGACTATCCGTATTGCCAGGCTTGGATGGATTCCTTTGTGGCTCGACACCAAGCGGGGCCCAAAATGACGCCGATATGGCACTGTTTCGTTCAGACGGAGCATTGTTTACACCGCTGGTCTCAGCCAGAGGGCGGTATGTCTGAGTATCTTGTGTAGTTGTACTGGCATTGGGTGAAATATGTGCTGGACGCACACTTTCGATTGGAGGATGATGCATAGGCTCAAGGTTTATCGAGTGACCGTCAATGACAGCACCTTGCAAAGCTTCCATTGCAGCGAAAGCCGGATAATCCGAGGGGAAGTGCACATAGCCAAAGCCTGCATGTCTTCCTGATGCGGTATCTAGCGGGAGATCCACCTTGACAAGGAATCCCTTGGCAGCAAACACATCCTGTATCATCTTGTCGGTAACCTTGAAACCCACATTCCCAATGAACAAGGATTTAGTTGCTAAACTGCTTTTCGATTCTCTAGGCTTGACTTGTGATGTCTGTTTAGCATTCAACGGGCGATCGAATGCAGGAGGAGGCGGAGGTGGCCCTTGGGGCCAGAAAGTGAAATTCGGCAGCGATGCCGACGGTGGAGGAGGACAGGGAGGCGGGGGTGGGTTATAAGTGTGGAATGGATTCCAAGACGGAGCAGGCCATGACGGAGGCGCCCAATGATTTGAGTGAGCGGGTGTGGGTTGACCAGGACGACTGTGGATAGGGGGTACTCCTGTTTGTGCAGCATTAGATGGGTTCGATCGGCCTGGGTCTGCTGTTGATTTCTCATTCGCGGCTGTCGCGCCTGAGCTCTGGGAATACAGAGTGGCTGGAGGCGCAGATTCATTGCTTGCAGTAGTGTTAAAGAAAGGCCCAGATGCTCTAGGGTTTGGCGCCTCAGAAGTTGAGGTCGACGTAGAAGCTGTTGATCCAGCACGGCCAAACTCGTTTTCGAATGCGGCAAATAGTGTCCTTCCGACCTCGTTGAGTTCTGTGGCCATCATACGAAAACCATCAGCGGCGTTCTCAGCGACAGGTCTTCCTGCTTGGAAGGCATCTTCTGCCATTTGCCTTCCGCCATCTGGAAGATTATTAAAAGCGGTCCTTAGGTGAGCCTCAACAGTGGCGAGTAGTGTCCGCAATGACGCTTCCACGTTCTCAGGCAGAGATCTCTGTGCAGCCTCAAATTGTCTCTGAGCATTCTGTAGTTGTCGCTGTAGCTCAGGCATTTTGGATCTCCATTCAGATTGTACCATATTAGCTCCGTTGATCAGCTGATCTAGAACCTGCGCCGCCAAAATCTCAACAGGATGAGGGGATCGCCCAGAGTTTGTGTTGGCTGATGGCTCATTAGTCGGTGGTGAGTTAGGCTGAGGTACTCTACTCTCCGACGACTCAGAAGCATTGAGTATCTCTGCTAGCTCAGCCTCAAATGCTTCCATAAGAGGCCGAGGCTGGTCCCCAGATATCGCTGGCGGGGTTGTAATACGAGGAACAGGGTCTCCATGTTGCTCTTCGAGGACAATAGCCTTAGAAGTAGCTTGCGTGTCGTTATTCTCACCAGCCGAGCCTTGTTTGGGGACGTTGTCCTCAAATCGCTTCCACAACTCGGTCACAGAGTTTGATCGACGAATATCAAATATGTGCATCGGACTGATGCCATCGGGAGAAAGCTCGACGGATCCAAGCTGTGTATTAATGTCTAGGGGCTCCTCAAGGCGCTGACAGAGCTCGAGAGCGGATCCAACCTAAGGGAAACAGTGAGATTTTGACCATAGATAGCCGACAAATTGCTATGGACTTACGGTGATGGTTTCCTCATCATCATCGTCATCCATATACGTCAACCTTGCGCGGGGATGGTTCGACGCTAAATCATCGTAATCTGTAGCAGAGATCTGGACCACTCCTGCAGAAGGACGAGAATCCGCAAGCTGCTCTGGTTGGTGCTGAGTGGATACCCGAAGGTTTCTGATTTGGAAGGGCTTCAACATCGTGGAGAAGATGCCCTGTGAGCCCTGCGGATCGGGAACACAAACAGGTGGGGCGGTGTTACAGAATCAGAAATCAAAAATTGATAAACTAGAGTTGATAGAGTTGATAAAGAAATGAAATGGTTTGGAATTATGATGCCTCCGGGGCTAGTTTGGAGACGGGGGAGATGATCACGAGATTCATATGTTGCTGCCTGTGGCAACACTTCCGATTTTTCGAGTTCGGATCTTCCAGATACAAGGAATGCGACAAGGAATTTAAGAAATCCAGGAGATTCAAGAAATTCCAAAAAGTACATGGGGGGTTTCAGGCAACAGGATAAAGAGAGCATGAGAGCAATGATGAAGCTCTCTGGATCCCCGCTCCGATCACATGACACTGTTCTTTTTCCGCCTGGACTTCGAGGCGTCAACCCTGAATTCAATTGAATCAATTGAACGGACAATAAATACGTACTAATTGAGAATTATGTCCACATAACGTCGCCCGATGTTTGCGCGACCGTGTCCACTCTTTTCATCTACCTCCAGCTTTCATTTCCACGATACTACCAATGGCTGGTCCATTGGAGACGGTACATCGCATGAACGCCCCCGAAACCTAGCATTCCGACAACTTCGATATCACGGTCGCGGCGCTAAATCTCCATAGACATCAATGGCGACCCCAAGCTCTGCCCCATTGCAGACTCCAGCTGATCGCAACGTGAACAACGTCGTATTGGGCGATCTCTTGTTCAAGCCATGGAACCAATCCATCTACCCTGAAGACCTCGTCGCCAAGGATGCCGATCGACTCTATGTCTGTCACTGGTGCTTTCGATACTCATGTGACGTGGATCTCTTTGAGCAACACAAACGCGCCTGCGAGCATCGCATAACCCCACCAGGGACGAAAGTCTACGACCATGGCGGGTATGCAGTGTGGGAGGTGGATGGGCAGAACCACAAACTTTTCGGACAGAATCTGTCCCTTTTCGCAAAACTCTTCCTCAACCACAAGACAGTCTTTTTCGATGTCGCAACCTTCCTGTACTACATTCTCACTTTCACCGACCCGGAAGACTCCGACAGCTACTACGTGCTCGGATTCTTTTCAAAGGAGAAACTCTCATGGGATGCCAACAACCTTGCCTGCATTCTGATCTTCCCGCCTTACCAACACAAGCAGCTTGGGAAGTTGTTGATGGGGGTCAGCTACAAGCTCAGCGGGTGGGACTCCAATGGTGGGTGCATCGGTGGACCAGAGAAGCCACTGAGTGAGCTGGGCCACAAAAGCTATGTCCGTTTTTGGGCCGAACGAATTGCCCGATTCTTGCTCCGCGGCAAACCTAGCGGCAGCTCCCTTGAAACCGACCAACGGAAGCCCAGCTCAACCCCTAAAGGCTCCCGCAAGAGACCCTTGCGCGAGACCATTACCGTTGAAGAACTCGGCCTGGGAACCGGTATGTTGACCGAGGACGTGATTACTGCACTCAAGAGCATGGGGCTGTTTGAACCCCAGGCCACCCCCAAAAAACGTAAATCTACCCGTACAGCTGCGGAGGACAATACCACACCACCAGGTCAGATGGTCACCATTTGCAAATCTGACGTGTGGGAGTGGGCTCAAGCGCACCATCTCTCCCTGGACGACCCAGTCAGGGAAGAAGGCTTTGAGGGACTTTGGCCCCCCGAGAATGTGTCTGATGGGGATGGCCAAAGCGTTACCTCGGAAGAAGACTGATTCTCCCAAGGAGACAGCTTCCCAGTTTATGCACGATAGCGCTGATTACTGTATTTCCATTTAACGACGACAATGAGAAGCAACGTGAAGTTTGTGCATTTTTGAATAGATTGGCTCTTGGCCCCCAACTTTATGAGGGAATCAAGTCTTTAACCCTTTTAAACTTTACATGAACCGCCTGACTTCGTAAAGAGAAAGTGCATTACTCTTCCTGACCACCGGGCCCACCGGCACCGGCTTTACCCATCTGTCGAGCCTTCAGTAGCTCATCGCACAGAAGGAGGTTAGATGCGATGCCCGTGCTAGAAGCGATGCAGTTACGCAGAACACGGAAGGAATCGAAGACACCTTGTTGGACGGGATCCATGGGCGCGCCAGTGACCAGATCCAAACCGACAGTGTTACCATCAGTTGCCTCATCGTGAAGAGCAGCCAGCGAATCCTGGATATCGTGGCCTGAGTTCGCAGCAAGAGTTTTAGGAATGATCAGAAGGGCATCAGCGAACGCACCAACACCCCACTTGGCCTTACCCTTGACGGTCTTGGTGAAGGCCTGGGACTGCAGGTGTGCGGCACATGCAACTTGGAACGCACCAGCCCCGGGAATGACGCAGCCATCGACAATGGTGTTGTAGACAGAGCGCAAACCATCACGCACGGCATCCTTAACCTGGGTGATGGTGTGTCCATTGGGACCCTTAATGAGGATAGTCACAGACTTAGGATCCTTGACCTCTTCAATAAAAGTGAACTTTTCCTCACCAAGCTGGTGCTCGTAGACCAGACCAGCCCACCCAAGAACATCCGGAGACAAATCCTCGACACTGTTCTGAGCAGTTCCACCACAGACTAGCTGCAGACGCTCCATATTTCTGCGCTTGGCTCTTCGCAGAGCGAAAATGCCGTTCTTGACCAGAACATCCAAGCTGAGGGGATCGATACCCTTCTGGTTGATGATAACGAATCCCTTGTTGGGGTCGTTTCCACAGACCTCCTTCTTGAGGTCCACAATCTTCTGCAGCTTCGCATCCACAAACTTGCGCTCGCTCTCAACCAGCTTATCTCTCTGCTCGGCGTTGGAGTAGTAGAATCCGGAGTTAATTTCGGACTTCTCGTACTCCAGACTGACGTTCAATGTCAGAATGAAAGCGTTCTCCACCCGCTTGGGCATGTCGGGGTGTCTGGCACCGTGGTCCAAAGCAAGACCACGAATAAGCTGGGTATCCGATGACGACCGGTGCTGCATAGTCATAATCTCAACCATGTGCAAATCAGGCTTTTCAGGGGCTCTGTGGATAGCGAGCACGGCATCGACGATGTCTGGGGTAAGCTTCTCGGCGAGGGCGCCGTTAATCTTGGTGGAGAGGGAGGTACGGGCGACAGAAAGCAACAGCTCTCGGTCAATAGGACGCTCGAGCTTGAAGTTTTCAAGGAACTGTGGGTAATGTGTTAGAATCCATCTCGAGATTTAACTTTCAATCTCCATTACATACTTTCAAGGCCTCAGTCTTGGCAATCTCGTAGCCATCAGTAATAACACGGGGATGCAGACCCTCCGAGATGTGACGCTCCGCCTGCTTCAAAAGCTCTCCCACCAGCAGAACGACAGATGTTGTTCCATCACCGGTAATATCATCTTGTGCGGTCGCAGCGCGAGCGATCATAACCTTTCCATTTCGTCAGCAACATGTAGGAGGGCTTTGAGGCAATCTTGTCTTACAGCCGTGGGGTTTTGAATTTGCTGTTAGAGGTTAGCTCAGAAGCTCCAAGTGCTGTGATTCTGGGGGCAGAACGAACCATCTCTCGCAACAAAACGTTTCCATCCTTGGTCAATTTGATCTATAATAGCGACCCTGTATTAGAAAAGGGACGTTTCGTGCCATTCGAGGGGAATTGGGGATTGCATACTGCGCCTGCACCATCAACCAGCCTAAGTTCTGTCAGCTCCATCGCCTTTCTATGTGAGGTGTATTCGTAGCGAACTCACATCTTGAGAGTTCCCGAAGGACCCAGGTTGGACTTGAGAACATCTTGAAGACCTTCACCAGCACCGATGTTCACCTTCAAGGCCTCTCCTCTCCGCTGCGTGAAATGTTAGTGCGCGGGCATATCATTGAGGGGCCATCTGGGAATATTTTCCATACCCTCGACTCCGCCTTGGGGTTAAGTAGTTGAGTTGCAGACATCTCCCAGGTAATGAATGACAGGGTATCACGTCCAATAACTCAAAAATATTAAATTAAGGGATGGTAGAGCGCTTGTTCCACGCTAGGTCTGCGGCCAAAAAGCCCACATTCGAGCATCCGTACGATCACGTGATTATATCAGCGGGCCGGGTAAACGTCTACTCCGATGCCTACCGTCATACCTCCGGTTCGGTGCCTTAGGATTCGCACTAGCGGCAAGAAAAAAAAATTGTCCATTTCCAGCCGTCGCCAACCTCACCAGAGACCCATCAAATTGCACTTTGCGAGGTTTCCTGGCCGGTGTTGCAAGTTTTTATCATTATCTTGTGATTGACCTTGGATTGGCGCTAACACGATGGCCGATTTCCTACTTTTCGAGGGCCCTATGGGTTACTCGCTTTTCAAGGTCGCCCACCAGGGTGACTCTGTCGGCAATTCCTTGAAGGAAGTCCAGGAGGGTGTTAATGATCTTGCTAAGTTTGGCAAGATGGTCGAGCTTTCGAGTTTCCTGCCTTTCGAGTACGCTTTATCAGTCCAAATGAAAAGGTTTTCAATTTTCACCGCCGACTAACAATTTGTAGGAACAACAAGCAGGCTCTTGGAGAAATCAATGACATCTCCGAAGGTGTCGCCTCCGAGACTCTAGTTTCTTTCCTTGAATTGAACCTCCCCAAGCCGAACAAGAAGAAGAAGGTGGTCCTGGGTCTTGCCGACAAGGCTCTGGCAGGAAGCATCAAGTCCGCTTTCTCATTCGTGGACTGTGAGACTGGTGATACCAGCGAGGTTGTCCAGGATCTTCTTCGTGGTATCCGTCTCCACGCTAGCAAGCTTCTCAAGCAGCTGCGCGATGGTGACATGGACACTGCCCAGCTCGGTCTCGGTCACGCTTACTCACGTGCTAAGGTAAAGTTCTCTGTCCAGCGTGACGACAACCACATCATCCAGGCTATCGCCATCCTGGATCAGCTCGACAAGGCCATCAACACCTTCTCCATGAGAGTCCGTGAATGGTACTCGTGGCACTTCCCCGAGCTCGTCAAGATTGTCTCCGACAACCAGCGCTACGCCGAGCTCGCCCTTTTCATTAAGGACAAGCAAGCCCTGACCAGCGAAAGCCTACACGACATTGCCGCCCTTGTTGAAGATGACGAGGCTGTTGCCCAGAGCATTATTGATGCCGCTAAGACTAGTATGGGTCAAGAGATCTCCGAGTCTGACATGGAGAATGTTGTCTCCTTCGCCGAGCGCGTTGTCAAGCTCGCCAAGTACCGCAAGTCTCTCTACGCTTATCTTGTTGCCAAGATGAGCGTCGTCGCGCCTAACCTCGCCGCCCTCATCGGTGAAGTCGTCGGCGCCCGTCTGATCTCCCACGCCGGTAGCTTGACCAACCTCTCCAAGTACCCCGCCTCTACCGTTCAGATTCTTGGTGCCGAGAAGGCTCTTTTCCGTGCTTTGAAGACCAAGGGAAACACCCCCAAGTACGGTCTGCTGTACCACTCTTCCTTCATCGGCCGCGCTGGCCCCAAGAACAAGGGCAGGATTTCCCGTTTCCTTGCCAACAAGTGTTCCATTGCTTCCCGCATTGATAACTTCTCCGAGGAACCTAACACCAAGTTCGGTGAGGCCCTGAAGAGTCAGGTTGAGGAGCGGTTGGAATTCTACACCTCCGGCGCCGCCCCTACCAAGAACGAGGTCGCCATGGTATGTTGAGCTATAGTTACCCTACTTAATGGACAAACGAATGCTAATCATTTACAGAAAAATGCCATGGATGCCGTGCTGGCTGACCTTGATGTCGATGCTGACCAGAGCGATGCGGATATGGAGGATGCCGAAGTCGCTGAGGCTAAGGAGGAGAAGAAGGAGAAGAAGGAGAAAAAAGAAAAGAAGGAGAAGAAGGAAAAGAAGGAAAAGAAAGAGAAGAGAAAGTCCGGGGGTGAGGGCGAGTCCGACAAGAAGAAGAAGCGCAAGCACGACACGGATGCCGAGCCCTCCAAGAAGAAGCAAAAGGCCTAGATGCGCAATGTGTTCGGACTTGGGAGTCTTCGTCATGGCGTTAGGTTTTGCTTTTGTCTTCATGACTCGATTGGTACGGCTTGCAGGTATTTGTAAATTATTACCAGGCCTTTTGCCTCAGCAGCTCTGACTTATCGCTGCTCTGATATTTTTCAATTAAGTGTTTTAAGTTGTTTATCATCTTGTCACGCACTGTATGTGTACGGAGTAGGGGGGTTCCAGTCTCAAATAAACCTATTTTATTTTATAGAATAGAAAGGCGAAAGAGACTAAAAGGACATATGTAATCCCTTGATGTGTATTGTATGCGCGGCCAATTTAGTGGCGATCATTGTACGGAGGTACCCCACAGTCTGATTCAATGCCGACTGTCCAAGACCTCCAAGACCAAAACCCCTCTCAGCCGTGACCTCCGCCGTTCGTGGGCACTGCAGAATGAATAGCTTCGTTTCTTGAGAACAACTTGGTGGTGGATACCCTTTTATTTACAAATGAGACCCATCGGGTTGCTCGGTGACGTCCCCACTACGTCCGTCTTCAGTATGATGCCGACAGGCTTACCTTCATCTTTCTCCCCAAAGCGCAAACGAGAGCCCTCAGAATCAGATTGCTATAGCCCCTCAGCATCACCCACATCGATAACCTCTATCGATAGTTTTCAAGAAGTTCCACTTCGGGACGAGGAGGAGCTGGAAAGCTACAGTCCTCGCACTGCAGTGGCTGGACGATTCGGAGAGTTAGCGATCCGCGGCGATCTTGTTTCGGACCCTGGAAACTTGATTGCCAGCCAACGGCGAG